CCAGTGTGAGTTTGAAGCCACCCCGTCTGGGACGCGAACCGCGGTGGACTACATGGGAGTCCCGCGTCATAGCCATTACGCTGCTGGTCCCAAGGGGGAGTCGGTCTTTAAAATCAGGATTCTGACGTTTAGATGTCCTGTTTTGAACTTTACCTCTTACTTTGAGCTTTACCACTTAAGACTATTTACTGCTTCTTAGTTTCAAGATTCCAGCTGGCTGCCAGCTGCCTGGAGAAGCTAGAACTTTTCAGCATTATTTATTTATTTATTTATATTTTATTTAACTTTATTTAAATCTCACCAGTGAGGAGGGACGGAGAGAGAGGAAAGTAAGTGAGAAAGCAAGCCGTCAGGTCCAGGACTTGAACTGTTATTGGTCATGAGGGAGTCCAGCGCCCTTAACCACAAGGGTACTTGCTGGCCCCCAGTTTTTCAGCTTCAAGTCCATAGGAAGACCGACTATAGTTCTTGGCCTGTGGCCTGATGGGTAGAGGGTGAACTCTTTTATTGTTTTTACTTAAGGGTCAGAGCTTGGGTGTTTGCTCTGTGAATTACCTATGGTCATATGAATTTAGTGACTCTAATCAGCTTGGAAAGTCATACATCGTGTTTTTATCTGTATTGAGAGGCTGCAGTGTGCCTGGCGCTGTCCTAGGTTCTAGTTAATATTGCGAACTACAGAGACCTAGGGGAAGATCTCTGTTTGGAATGGAGTGAACATAGACAAGGTCCACAGGGCCAGGGCAAATGGGGCCTGCAGACCATGGTGCAAGATTTGCATCTTTTTCTGAATGTTATAGGATATAGTTACAGGAATTGAGTAAGAGCATACCAGGATCTGATTTGTTTGGTTCAGAAGTAGACTGCATTTTTAGCCTGACACTGAATTAAATTTTGCAGTGCTCCTTTCTGCTAGGTTAAATAATACAAATAAGCATTCTATTTTGAAAACTAGAAAACTTAGCTATACACCCCTTTGTTGTCTACCTGACCTTTTCATTCCTGTAAAAAAGGCAGTCAGAAAAGTCTGAATTTCTGTGGCCAGCAGGTGGCATGGTGGTTAAGGCACTGGACATTCCTATATGGCTAACCGCAGTTCAAGGCCTGAACCTGGTGACTTCCTTTCTCACTTTCCTCTCTTTTTCTCTCTGGTCAAATTAAAATAAGTGGATGAATACATAAAACTAAATAATTCTTTTTAAAAAAGTATGAATTTCTACTCAAGCATAAAATACTCTAAGTTGCTATAACAGACTTAGCTGTTTAATGGCTAAGCAAATAAAGTATGTATGTATCCCCAGAATAAGAATCTCAACAGCTTTATCTCCTTATTCACTACGTGTTCATACTGCTCAATAAATATTTGTTTAATAAATTGAGTTTATTTAAGCAAACACAGGGGGCCTTATGACAAATCCTTGTTCTGATTCAGAGACCAGTTTATAAACTTTCCAGAGCTTTGTTGCCCAGCACAGCCTTGCCTATAGCTTATGCTCTGTAATTAAATTCAGTCATTTTTCAGTGAACATGGAGAATCTTGATGGAACAGCCACTGTTCTGGGCCTCAGGGAACTGAGAATTCTTGTCTTTAGTGGAAGTACATGTGCAGTAAAGTATGTGATGAGTCCTAAAATGAAGTTCTCTGAGACCATAAAGCTAACTTTATCAAGGGAGGGAGAAAAGGAGGGTTCACGGAAATATCTTCAAATGGAATATAAGAGGTTGCATGGGAGTTTGCTAGAGGGAAAATGGGAAGAGGCAACAAAGGAATAAAATTAATACTTTCAACTATGAAGCTTAGCATCTGTGTGAGGAGATAGTCGGAAATGAAGGAAGTCAGCCAGATCATGAAGGAACCTATATGTCACATTAAGACACTTGGACTGGATGGAGCTGGCAGGTAGCTTGGTGGTTAAGGCACTAGAATCTCACATGGTTCAAATCCCAGACATGGTACTTGCTGTCTCACATTTCCCCTCTCTGTTTTCCTCAGGTCAAATTAAAAATTAATAATAAATAATAAAAAATTCTAAAAAAAAAAAAGACATTTGGACTTGATATGGAGAATCAGTGAAGGATTTTTTATAAAGGTTTTTTTTCCATAGAGCACATATGCTTGCCAGAGAGAGGCAATGAGAGGGAAAGTGACAAATCACCCGCCCACCTCTCCGGGAAGACGGCCACACTGCAGTCCCTTCTCCATTCTCTTGCGATTTGGATGTGAATGCACATGCTCGACATTTTTTTTAATTTTTATTTTTTGGAGAGCTTTTTGCTATAGGATGCATCTGCTTGTAAGAAAGACAGACAGAGGCAAACAGAAGGCAACAAATAGCCTTCTCCTTCTCCATTCTCCTCTTAGGATCTTGGGCACGCACGCACACGAACCCGGCATGAGTTTAAGCCGCTGGATCCGGGACTCAACCCTCGGTCGACTACATGGGAGTCCAGCGACATAGCCATTATACCAACTGCTGGTCCCGCTCGGCATGATTTTCAAGTGAAGGATTTTTTTTAAACTTTCTTCCTTTCTCTCCTCCTCCATCCTTTCCTCCCTTTAATTGTTTGTTTCTTGAGAGAGAATCTAGTAAATCTAAGAGGTGGTTGTGAGGCAGAAATGGACCATATTGGATATAAGGAGTGAGAGAGAAAGATTCGAGGGTGTTTTCTTACTTGGTCAACTGGTTGAATGATGAGCTTAAGAAATATTAGAAGCAGACTTTTTGGGTTGTGGATGAGAACATTGAGGGTACCTGAAGAATTGAGATCATAAGATACGTCTGTTCTAGCCTGACAAAATATTTATTCTTCTGCCATTAAAAATAACATGGGGACCAGTAGGTGGCATGGTAGTTAAAGCGTTGTACTCCCACATGACTGGCAATAGTTCGAGTCTCAGACCTGGCAGCTTGAAAATCACGCCCGACACATATGCATGCATGCATGCCCAAAATCTCAGGAGGAGAATGGAGGAGAAGGGCTCGTAGCATGGCCACACACACACACACCCCACACCCCCAGCAGAGGTAATTTCTCGCTTTCCTGCTCATTGTCTCTCTCCAGCAAGTACACATGCCATATGACAGAAACCTTAAAAAAAATGTTAGGAAAAACACATGTAAATTGAAAGTCAGCATAATACACTATGCTGTTGCTGAATAGTGTAATATTTGATGACAAGAATTTTAGAGCCTTCCTGCCTGGGTTCCAATCTACCTCCTAGTAGCTTTGTGGCCTTGGGACAAGTTACTTTAACCTAATGGTTTCCTCAGCAAAATGAGGATAAATCATAGTATTCACATTTTAGGGTTTTGTGAGGAGTAAATTAGTTAATATATGTAAAACTCTTAGAATACTATCTGACAACAGTAAGAGCCATTGGTATTATTTTCTTAAGACTTATTTTATTTAACTGTTTTTATTTATTTGTTTTAATTTGACCAGAGAGGGACAGAGTAAGAGAGAAAGGGAAAATGAGAAAGCAAGCTTCCAGGTCCAGGACTTAAACAGCGATTGGCCATGTGGGAGTCCAGCACCTTTAACCACCATGCCATTTGCCAGCCTCAAGATCTGTTGCTATTAATACAAGTATATGAAAAATTGGATATTTAAAAAAAATAATTATTTATTTTATTTTATTCATTAATTCATTTATTTTTTAGTTTGACCAGAGAGAGACAGAGGGTGAGAATGAGAGAGAGAGGAAGTGAGAAAGCAAGCCACCAGATTCAGGACTTGAACCCTGGTCAGCCATGTGGGAGTGTCCAGCGCCTTAACCACCGCACCATCCACTGGTCCTGAAATTGGATATTTTATTTAAATGAAAAATAAGAATAACAGGTCTGTATATAACTTTCCTTATCTTGCTCTCCTTTTTTTGAACAGAGGACTTATAGTCTAACATGCTAGATACTACATATTTACGAGAATTTTAGTGTTTCTAAAGTGTGGTCCATGAACCACCATCAGCAGTAGCATCTAGAAACTTAGAAATACAGGTTCTGGGGCAGCCCCACTTCAGATCTACTGAACCAGAAACTATTTTAGAAAGCTGTCTGTTCTAACAGCTCTCTAAGGGATTTCTGATGAAAGCAGCTGAGCTAGAAATATAAGCTGAATATTTTATATTATTATGTATCCTAACCAACTAGAACAGTATCTAAAACTTTCTAGGTGTTCTTTCTGTAAATACTTATTGAAAGATGGAAGGTATACTGGGTGTTTTTTCTGTAAATACTTATTGAAAGATGGAAGGTAAATACTGTAAGTGGTTGGGAACAAAATATTGATAATGCATGACTGAGTGTTGAAACCAAATGTGATTTATTTCTAATCTACTGTGTTTTTCACATTTGCATGACTTTTTTAAAAAAGAACTATTTATTTAGCTTTATTTATTCATTCATTTATTTTAATTTGACCAGAGAGAGACAGAGAGAGAGAGAGAGAAAGTGAGAAAGCAAGCTGCCGGGTCCAGGACTTGAACTGTGGTTGGCCATGTAGGAGTGTCCAGCGCCTTAGCCGCCACACCACCTGCTGATCCCAACATTTGCATTATTTTTAAAATGGATATATGCACATATTAAAACAAAAATAGGGCTGGCTCTTTGACTTAGTGGTTAAGGCAGCTGGATCCCACAGGGCCTAATGCACAGTTTGGGTCATGTACCCAGTAGCTTGAGAAGCACCCTGGGTACATATGTGTGCTTGCCCAAAATCCCAAAAGAGAGTGATGGAGGAGATTGTAGCATGACTGTTCTCCATGTTTTCTCCTTTCCCTCTGTGTCTCTCTCTTTGGAAAGTACACGTGCCCTCTGGCACAAAGATAGGGTAGATAGATAGATAGATAGATAGATAGATAGATAGATAAAAGAAAATAATTTTATTTCCCCAAAGTATAGTCTACATGCAATTTCTGCCTGTGAAGAATAGCAGACACAATATGTTATATTTTAGGCAATTTTTGTGGCAGTGACAGTCCTGCCATATAAGTAATTATTCATCCAATTTACTATTACATTGAAAACCTTTAGCCAGAATTTCTAGTCTTGGTTTTTCAACAACCGAATACCAAATACCTAAGTGCTGTAATTTCTTAGTCTAATTAATATTTTAAGTGCCTATATAGTTATGTTTTCTAGTTTGCATTTTATAATAACTAAAGAAATCTCCCAAAATGTCTTTTTTTTTTTTTTTAAGCGACTTTTTTGTTATAGGGTGCGTGCCCTTGCTGGAGAGACCGAGAAAGACAGAGCAAGAAATCAACTGGGGGACAGCCACACCACAATCTCTTTTCCTCTATTCTCCTCTTAGGATTTTGGTCATGCATGCACACGTGCCTCATGTGAATTACAGGCTCCTGGGTCCAGGACTCAAACCGTGGTGGAAAATGTGGGGAGTCCAGTGCCTTAACCACTACCCTATTTTCTGCCCTCCAAATGTCTTAATAAGTGGTGTAGGAGCCAGTAGATGGTGTGGTGGTTAAAGGAACTGGACTTCCACATGGTCAACCATAGTTCAAGTCCTGGACCTGGCAACTTATTTTCTCACTTTCCCTCTCCCTCTTTCTGGTCAAATTAAAACAATAAATAAACAAAGTTAAAATAATTAAAACAATAAATATGTGGTGTAAAGTTTAATGTTTCCTTTTTTTTTTTAAGCATTATTCATTGAATTTTATTTATTATTATTATCATTAAATTTGGCCAGAGAGAGAAAAAAACTCTGCAGGTCTGGAACTTGAACCATAGTCAGACATCTGGGAGTCCAACACCTTAACTACCATACCACCTGCCAGCCCCTAAAGGTTCCTGTTTTAAGCTATATAAATTTCAGTATCTATATGTGAGATGCCATTATTTTGGAAGCTAGACTGTTAAACACCAATTACTCACAGACTGTAAATTTTTTGTTATTCTCTCTTCATATTCTTTGATGAATTTTATTTTTGCTGTTAGATTTCCTACATAAGGATTTACTTTCAAAACTAATAGTAGTTCTTTTTTTTTTTTTGAGAGGTTTTTGCTATAGGGCACGTGCACTCACCAGACACACACAGAGAGAGAGAGACAGACAGACAGACAGACAGAAAGCGAGAAATCACCCCCCAGGGGGGATGGCCACACCATAGTCCCTTCTCTTTCATTCTCCTCTCAGGATCTTGGGCACACACGCACACACTCCTGGCGTGAGTTTTAAGCCACCGGGTTCGGGACGCAAACCGCAGTCGACTATATGGGAGTCCAGCGACATAGCCATTACGCTAACTGCTGGTCCCAAAACTAATAGTAGTTCTTATATATTGAACTCTTCCTGTGCCTGTCACTTGCTAAGCACTTGTTATGTGTATTGTCTCTTTTTTTTTTTTTAAGAATTGTTTTATTTTAACTTTATTTACTTATTTATTTGTGTTAATATGACCAGAGAAGGACAGAGTGAGAGTGAGAGCAAGAGAGAGAAAGTAAGAAGGCAAGCCACCAGGTCCAGAACTCAATCCGTGGCCAGCCATGTGAGGGTCCCAAGTGGGAGTCCAGCATCCTTAACCACCACGCCACTTGCCAGCATGTGTATTGTCTTTTTTAACCCTTTCAAACAGCTGTATGAGGTCAGTACTGTTATAGTCCCTCTTTACAGATGAGAAAACAGGTTTAGAGAGTTCTAATACATTTACTTCCCACATAGTGTGAGATCACAAATAGCAGGCATAAGTAATAGAAATGCCACAGTGAGGTGCCAAAAGCAAATGAACCACATATTTTTGAGATCTTGGTAAACTCAAGTTATTTCCGTAATTCCAGTGGGCCACGATTCGTCATTCTTGGGCTGGTAATTTAAACCTCCATCAGGAGGAGAAACAACCCACTTTGATCAAAGATGAAGGTAGGCTTTCTCTAGCTCTATTTTTCAGAGCAGGCTCTTTCCGCTTTATTCTCTGTTCAGGAGATGGTGCCACCATCAACCTAGTTTATCAGACAAGACAAAATTAGTCTCAGTGAGTCCCTCATACATGACTAGTTTCCACAGGTACTTGGAAGGAGATGAGGACAATAGAGACAGTGGTGTTTAGTGTGACTTATTGCTATTTTCAGTGCCCAGTGCATCCAGTGTGCAGACCTGCTGTTTTGTAGTTGATTTAAAAAGGTTTTTTTAAATTATTTTTAAATTTAATTTTATTTATTCATTCAGTTATTTTAATTTGACCAGAGAGAAATAAAGGGGGGCGAGGGGAGTGAGAAAGCAAGTCACCAGTTCCAAGACTTGAACTGTGGTCAACCATGTGGGAGTGTCCAGAACCCTAACCACCATACCACATGCTGGTCCCCTATTGTAACATTAATTCTAACTCCTTAAAAAAGTAAGAGTTTTGTTTGTTTGTTTTAACAGATTTTACCAGTTGTCATAAGGCTATACCCTGGGAGCACAAAAATGCCTCTTAGTTATATACTGTGATATACAGAAACACGGGATTGAGATTCGGTAGACTTGTATTCCGGAACTAGTGTTGCCACATATTTGGTCCTCTTGTGACCCTAGGGAGGCACCCAGTTTCCCCAGGCTCTAATTCCCTCAGCTGTAAAATGAGAAGGTTATACTAGCTGATCTCTGAGATCTGTCCCAGTTCTGACATCCACTGGTTTCATGATAATGAGACAAAGGCACAAAAAAGCAGCTGTCGATCTCTGAGATGGGTTGGGACTAGCCTTTTTCGAACCTTTGAATAATCTGCCTGCTTGGCTTCATTATTAGAAGGAATTATTTTAAAGGCTTTTGTTTTGTTCACATCTTAGGAGCCCATAAAGGAACTGATAAATACAAGTTCAAGTTGTTTTTAAGGAGTGTATTTCCTTCATATAAGCTGTAGGACACTCATAGGAGGAAGTGTGTATTTTATGAAATCATGTACAAAGTTAAACATCCCAACTCCAAAGAGGCTGAGAATAACAAAATCATGGAGGGAAGATGATGAAAGAATAGAGGTTCTGTGGGCTGCCACTTCACTCCTTACTTGATTTATATATTGGGTTGTTGGAAAAGTCATAGAAAAATATGTCATGACTTTTCTGGATCCCATATGGCCAACTGAGTGGTTTGAGTCCCTGCAGCTTGAAAAACGCACTGGGCTGGGGCTAGCAGGTAGAATGGTGGTTAAGGCACTGGACACTCCCACATGGTTGACCATGGTTCGCGTTCCAGACCTGGTGACTTGCTTTCTCACTTTCCTTCTCTCTCTTCTCTCTCTCAATGTGTCTCTCTCTGGTCAAATTAAAATAAATGAATGAATGAATAAAATTAAATTTTAAAATTTTTTTTAAAAAAGAAAAATACGATGGTCAGGTGTGTATCCATGCCCCAAATTCCAACAGGAGAATGGAGGATAAGGGATTGTGGCTTGGCATCCCCCCAGGAGGTGATTTCTCCCTTTCCCTCTCTCCCTGTCTCTCTCTCTGTGTCCTTGAGTGCACGTGCCCTATAGCAAACAAAACAAACAAAAAAGACATAAGGGCTGAAAGAAAACTGAAAGGGGCATGATGTTCTCACTGTGCAAGTCATTATTCTTGCTATTACTAGTGAGAAATAAACCGTATCATTGCAGCCTTTCAGTGAGCTCAGGTGGGTTTTTAATTTGTGTCATGGATAAGGGTATCAATAGAAATGATAACACCGTGGGTGTGAAGGTGGGGACAAGGATTTCAGAAAACCATTGTTAGCAACATTCTTATTGAAAGTATGCCTGGTCTGTGACGTAGAATGGGGGAAGAGAGAAGGTTGGGAATGGTTAACTTAATGATTAATCCATGGTTAACTTAGCGTTTCTTAGTAGGGGTGCTATTGGCTTTTGAGACCAAATAATTGTTATTCAGTACTGTCCCAAATGGATATTCTTGTTTTCTGTGTACTGTTTCTCTTCTCTTCCCCTCAGTCATCATGATACCTTTCCATACATTTCTAAATGCCTTTAGGAGTGATTAAGTAATGCTATCCCTACCATAGAAGAAATGGGAATTTTATTCTAAGCAAAAGGAATGGCCTCCACAAATGTATGGATGTAGTAAAAGCATTTGAACCTTGTCTGTCTTTTCCAGAAGAGAAGAAAAAGTTGATTAGAGATTTTGATGAAAAACAACAGGAAGCAAATGAAACGGTAAGAACAGGAAGCAAGTCCTATTTCTTTTTTGACTTGATGTTGGTCTTTTCCAGAAGTAATGCTATGACTTGGTCATAGATGAACTGTTCCCATCTGTTGACCTTGATTTTCGACCATTTCATTCTAAATGAGACCAGCTGATAGAGATGGGTGTTGACAAACACAAATGGATAACGCTTAAAGACTGGCCTGAAATATGAGTCTTTAGTATGTTCCTGAAGTGGATAGCAAACGCACTCAGACTTTATACATGTGTGGTCATTTTAAAGTGTATTTTCCCTTTTTAAAAAAAGTAAAATCACTAGAGGACATCTGCACTCACCAGACAGGAAAAGGGAGAAAGCACTCCTAAATGGGGGTAGTCATACCACAATGCCTACTCCTCCATTTCTCCATCTTGTCGAAATCTGGAACATGCACATGTACTTGGCATGTTTTTCAAGCCACTGGATCCAGGGCTAAAACCATGCAGTTGGCCATGTGGGACCTAGCCCTCTTAAGCACTAGACCACAGGGCTGGCCCAACTTCGTTTTGTTGTGTTTTTGTTTTTAAAGAATTATTTTGTTTATTATTGTTATTGTTATTTTCCAATTTTTGATCAGAGAGAGAGGGAAAGAAAAATCAAGCCACCATGTCCTGGATTCAAACCGCAGTGAGCCATTTAACCACCACGCTACCTGCCAGCCCTCCCACTTTGATTTTAAAAGAAAGAGAAAGCAAGCCACCATGTCCTGGATTCAAACCGCAGTGAGCCATTTAACCACCACGCTACCTGCCAGCCCTCCCACTTTGATTTTAAAAGGCAGCATAGCAGCTTGACTTAGTACCTTGGATAAGACATGCGTGAACAGGATGAGTTTTCAGTCAAGACCCAAAGGTTGTCAGAAGTCAGTACAGTTTAACAACTGCTTCTCTTTCTCTTCTTTTTTCTTTTTAAAATTTTTGTCAGAAGGCCCATGTGCTTGTCAGAAAAAGAGATGAAGAGAAAGGGAGAAAACACCCCTCTATGGGAAGTGGTCACATCACAATCCCTTCTCCCATTTCTCCATCCTGTTGTGATTTTAGGCACGCACACTTGTGCTCAGTGCATTTCTCAAGCTGCCAGGTCTGGGACTTGAACCAAAGCATTGCCCATACGGAATCTGGCTGCCTGAAGCACCAGGCCAGCCCTGCTTGTCTCTTAACATGTGGCTTTTTTTTTTAATAAAAATTTCCTGGAGGCCAACCTAAAAGCTAGAAACTTGGTATATCAGAAAGAGCTGGGAATTTGAAAATTTTGACACCTGCTTCTCTTCTGTGTAATCTTGAGCAGGTTTCTTTAAATCTTACACATTGAAATGGAGAAAGTATTTTCTACCTTGTTGATTTGTTGTGAAGATTAATTGAGAATGAATGTATTAGGTTGTCAGGAAATCATGACGTGTTTTTCTATGCAAAAAATGTGTCATGACTTTCCCAACAACCTAATAAAATTTTAAAAAGTGTTAAGGTACTTCTGTCAGCCTCTCCACTCATTCATAACTTTTTTTTTGGAGTGCCTATTCCGTGCTTGCTACACACTACACCAGGCACTTGAAATAAATGAGGTGAGCATGCTAGAAGTGGAACTTGTCTTCTTAGAGTAATAAATACGGTTGAGTATGTATTTGGGGTAGCCTGGGTCTGATTAATCCAAACTAGGCATGTACCCAGATAAGAGAGTGAAGACTCAGACAATCTATTAATATTTTCTGCCTTCCCAGTTGGCAGAGATGGAGGATGAACTACGTTATGCACCCCTATCTTTCCGTAACCCTATGATGTCTAAACTTCGAAACTACCGGAAGGACCTTGCCAAACTCCATCGGGAGGTGAGAAGCACACCTTTGACAGCCATACCTGGTGGCCGAGCAGACATGAAATATGGCACATATGCTGTAGAGAATGAGCACATGGTAAGCATTAACTTTTTTTCTTCCTTAAGGGCATGTAGTATGAGAGTTAACCAGGTTGTGGAATATAGGTCATGTTATCAGTGCATATTTGACTCTTGTTTTTCCTCTTTAACCTTTTTTTCTGTTAAAATTTGCCTCCCCCCCCCTCCTCCTACCCACTGTATTATATTCAATGCAGGTCACTCCAAGCCATATGCTTATCTAGATTTCTTTGTGTCCTTAATATGTATAAAAACAGCTTGGGGGCCCTCAGGTGGCCCTCAGGTGGTATGGAGGTTAAGGTGCTGGATTCTACCTAGCTGACTTAAGTCTAGGACCTGTAGCTTATGCACACCAGGCATGTGTGTGTGTGTTCCCAAAATCCTGAGAGGAGAATGGAGAGAAAGGGATTGTGGTATGACCATCAACCCTGGGGGATGATTTTGCACACACCCTCCCTCCGACTTTTCCTCTCACCTCGAGTACATGTGCCCTATAATAAAATTTAAAAAAAAACAAACAGAAAAACAGCTTGGTGTGTAATGGTATAGAAGTGTTACCCACTGTTATTATATCTGAACTCTGTATTCTAACCTATTAATCTAACTTATGCTTTTATCCTTAAATCTAAATTTTTTAAAGAGGTTTTTGCTATAGGGTGCATGCACTAGCCAGACAGACAGAAAGAAACAGAGAGACAGAAAGTAAGAAATCACCCCCGAGGGGAGATGGCCATGCTGAAATCCCTTCTTCTCCGTTCTCCTCTCAGGATCTTGGGCGCACATGCACCAGGTGTGAATTTAAGCCACCGGTTCCGGGACTCAAACCATGGTCGACTACATGGGAGTCCAGTGACATAGCCATTACACTAACCGCTGGTCTCTTTAAATCTAAATTTTAAGGGGCTATCAGGTAGTATAGTAGTTAAGGGGCTGGACTCCCACATGATCTGTCATGGTTTGAGTCCCAGACCCAGCGGCACACCAGTGCATGAGCATGCTTGCCCAAAATCCTGAGAGGAGAATGGAGAAGGGATTGCAGCATGGCCATCCTCCCCACCCCCGGGGGGTGATTTCTCACTTTCTGTCTCTCTGTCTCTCCAGCAAGCACAGTCACCCTGTAGCAAAAATATCTTTCTCTCGAAAAATAAATAAATAAATATTATGCTCCAAAATTCAGTTTGGTTGTTTTGTTTTGTTTTGTTTTTGAGAGGTTTTTGCTATAGTGCGCATGCAATTGACAGAAAGACAGAAAGCGAGAAATCACCTCCGGGGGAGATGGCCATGCCACAGTCCCTTCTTCTCCATTCTCCTCTCGAGATCTTGGGCACGCACATGTGCCTGGCATGCGTTTAAGCCACCAGGCCCGGGTCTCGAACTGCAGTCAACTACATGGAAGTCCAGTGACATAGCCATTACACCACCTGCTGGTCCCCAGTTTTGTTTTTAATTTATCAGAATATTGCTACAAAATTAATCCAAGCTTGGGTCACAGTGGTGGCTTTGGCAGCTTGGGACTGAGTGCAAGTAACAAAGAATCATCATGTTTCTCCAGAGGCTCTTTGGGTTCTCCTCTGTCATTTGGTCAGCAGTCTCAGTCCATTTGCAGAGAAACATTGGTGTTACAGCAGTGACATTTAATAAGGAACTTGATCCTGTACAGAAACTTTATGTGGACAAGATTAGAGAATACAAATCTAAATGACAGACAATTGGCGCACCTGTTGATACTGGCCCAGAATATCAGCAAGATCTGGAGAGGGAGCTTTTAAAGCTTAAGCAAACGTATGGTAAAGCTGACATGAACATGTTCCCTAACTTCAAGTTTGAAGATCACAAATTTGAAATCATAGATAAACCCCCATCTTGAAAAAGTAAAATTAATCCAATAATTTGTGATAAGTCAGTTGTACAACTACAGAAATATCAGAATAAACATTCATTTCACAACTAAAATAATAATAATAATAATAATCCAAGCATTCTTTAACTTAATATCAAGATGGCTCAACAACTGAGGTACAACAGAGTATGCAGGATGCTTCTCAAGGAGCTTCTTAACACCTTATTCTTTTCTTTTTTTTTTTTTTTTTTCATTTTCTTTTTTGCTCTAGGGTGCACAAACTGGCCATAGAGAAAGAAAGTGAAAAATGCCCCCCTGGGGTGATGCCACAGTCCTTTCTCCTTCGTTCTTCTCCCAGAATTTTGGGCATGCACATACACATGCCTGGTGTGATTTTTCAAGCTGCTGAGTCCAGGGCTTGAACCATAGAGTCAGCTGTGTAGGATCAAGCGTCTTAATCTTCATACCACCTGCTGGACTGTTAACACCTTACTCTTTTTTTTCTTTTAAAGAATTATTTATTGGGACCAGCAGTTAGCGTAATGGCTATGTCACTGGACCCCCATGTAGTCAACTGCGCCTCGTATCCTAGACCCAGTGGCTTAAAACTCACACCAGGTGTGTGTGTATGTGCATGCCCAAGATCCCAAGAGGAGAATGGAGAAGGGATTGTGGCGTGGCCATCCCCCCTGGGGGTTGATTTCTCGCTTTCTGTCTCTGTCTCTCTCTGTCTTTCTGGCGAGCGCACGCACCCTATAGCAAAAACCTCTAAAAAAAAAAAAGAATTATTTATTGTTATCATTTTTTAATTTGACCAGAATGAGAGAGAGAGAGGAAGTGAGAGAGCAAGCTGCTAGGTCCAGAAACTCAACCCAGTCGGCCATGTGGGAGTCCAGTGCCTTAACCACCATGCCACCTGCCAGCCCTAATACCTTATTCTAATTTAATGGGAAGTGAGCTATATTGCCCCTCTATCCTGCAATGTTCCGATTTATCAAGTTGAACTCATTAATTAAAAAAAAGTCTGTGTTCTGAAGTCATCTAAAGCAGGTAGACAGTTAAAGGAATAAGATAACTTTGCAAAGATGGCATTTTATGTGCTGCATTTGGATTATATCCCACACACACAGTCCGAGTAGAAATAGCTAGCAAGTAGAGTGGATGAGATGGAAAGGGGCCCATAAACGCAGACTGACCTTGTGTAGAAAGGATAGTAAGGTAATTTTAAACCAACAAATTACACTTCATGATACATCCTGATTGTAGTTTAAGAGACACTCAAAAATGATGATAATGGTGGGACCAGCAGTTAGCGTAATGGCTATGTCGCTGGACTACCATGTAGTTAACTGTGATTTGAGTCCTGGACCCAGTGGCTTAAAACTCATGCCAGGTGCATGTGCGTGCGTGCCCAAGATCCCAAGAGGAGAATGGATGAGAAGGGATTGCAGTGTGGCCATCCCCCCTGGTAGGTGATTTCTCGCTTTCTGTCTTTCTGTCTGTCTCTGTCTTTCTGGCGAGCACACGTGCCTTATAGCTAAAACCTCTCCCCCCCTAAAATAAAAAGATAACAGTAAGCCATCCTATGGCTTCGTGGTTAAGGTGACTGGATCCCACACGACTGACCATGTTGTTTGAGTCTCAGATTCTGTGACTTGAGAATCATGCATGGTACATCTGCATGCATGCCCAAAATCCCCAAAGGAGGGAGACATGGAGAAGGGATTGTGGCATGACCATTTCCCATGGTGTGTGCTTTCTTACCTTTTCTCTCTCTCCCTGTCCAGGAAACACATGTGACCTCTGGCAAATTAGGAGGGAAATGGTATTGTCTTGATATTGCTAATGTCAAAACTAGAGTACTTGAGACTGATGTAAAATTTTCTAAAAGATGCACAGGAAATGGTTGGATCAAGTCGGGTTTTTTTTTTTTTTTTTGTAAAGGGAGACTAGAAAAAAGCAGACAGGTAGAGCGTAAGTGGAAGTTGAAAAGGTAGCCTTGTTTGTTACCATAAATGGGTAGGGTGGTGCTGGTGCAACAAGTCCAAACAATAATTTTGCTTTAACTTTACTAGTTTCAAAAATTATAAAAACACAATTTAGATACACAATCAACCTTTAGTAGAATTGTTCCCAACTGTGTGAGGTTGACTTATGTGATCTTATTAGGCTAATGAGAGTGAGAAAGACAGGAAGTTGAAAATATGCTTGTTTTATTGGGAAAAAGATTTTTCCTTCTTCCTTTAAGCTAAGTAACTAGGCTTCCCCCACACACACACACACACACAGGTTTTTGCCTTAGGGCACATGTGCTGCCAGAAAGAGATATAGACACAGTGAGAAATCACCCCCCCAGGGGGATGGCCACACCATGATCCCTTCTTCTCCATTCTCCTCTTGGGATCTTGGTTGGGCTCACATACTCAGCATGATTTTGAAGCCAGTGGGTTTGAGACTTGAACCGTGGTTGGCCTTGCAGGAATCCAGCAACGTAACTGCTATGCCATCTGCTGGTCCCAGTAACTAGGTTTATTTGAACCCTGTTCACTGGTTTCCTCATCTACTGGTCTGTTTGCCATTTATTATGTGAAAATGCTTCTTGTTACTTCTGCCCTGGGCACCCGTCTTTTGGCCCCCGATGGTGTCCTAATGCAGGTGACAGTCACTTGCCGTCATAGGCCTCTCTGAACTGGACCCCTTTATATTGGGTGAGCTGTACCTATTTCTGTCAGTAGTTGAAAATTCTGACCCGACAGAGGCTACTTTAGTCCTCGTGCTGTCTGTGTTTAGGATTATAGGTGGAATAAAACTTCAGTGGGAATTCAGAAAATGAGCGCATTTAGGAAATTAGGGTGGCTTACTCGAGCTCCAGATCCTGCCTTCCATGAGCAAACCATCAGTGTGGCAACTTCAGAGTTTTTGTTTTTGTGTTTGGCCTGAATTAAAATTCCTTAATTTTAAATTTTTTAAATTTAATTTTTAAATTCTTTTTGGTCTTACCAAGAATGTAGCTACATAAGGGTTTTCCAGAATGTGGTAGTATCTCAGACTTTTAAATGATTTCTTTATGTGCTGAAAAAGAATAGCTTACTCATGGCCCCTCAGTCTTCAGTACCAGTCAAGTAGGAACCTCCCTTGCATTAATCTTTTAACTTTATTTATTTATTTTTAATTTGATCAGAGAGGGACAGAGCAAGAGTGAGACAGAGAGAGAAAGAAAGCTGCCAGGTCCAGGACTCAAGTCACGGTTGACCATGAGGGAGTCCAGTGCCCTCAGCCACCACACTACCTACTGGTCCCACATTAATCTTTTTCTAGGGCTGTAGAGTTTAGTTGGTTTGCCTGTCACACTATCACAGGTACAGACTATATATATTATGAGTTGTTTCTGAACTTCACAACTCCAAACTTCTGTCTCTCAGACTTGCTAATCTAGGAAGCACATAGGCCAGTTCAGATTGATCACAGACACAGGGGAAATGCTCCAATGCTTTCAATCCTTCCCTTTTTTGCCTTGCTTAAATGTAATAAGCAGTGGAATGGGAGGTATTTTGCTCCTGTTAATTGGATTCCAGGTTCTGCTCTAGCCCGTGACCTCAAATAAAATCTCATAGTTCATTAGCACCTTAAGTTCTGTCTTAAAAGTATTGAAAATTATTGCTTACTATATCCCTTCTTATACAAGGAAGTTCACAAGGAAAGCGTTGGCAATTTTAAATGGAAGCAGTCTAACATTTCCCTTCCATACTCCTGTCAGAATCGGCTACAGTCTCAAAGAGCATTGCTTCTGCAAGGAACTGAAAGCTTGAACCGGGCCACCCAAAGTATTGAGCGTTCTCATCGGATTGCCACAGAGACTGACCAGATCGGCTCAGAAATCATAGAAGAGCTGGGGGAGCAACGGGAGCAGTTGGAACGTACCAAGAATAGGGTAAGTCCGGACAGGTGGGGGAAGGGGCATAGTCGGGAAGGTAAAGGGGCCCACTACCCTCAACTGCCATGAGGCCACAGCCTCAAGGCTTCTGAATTAAAGGAACAACCTCTTAGATTCTTTTTTTGGAGAGGTTTTTCACTATAGGGCCTGTGCGCTTGCCAAACAGACGGAGAGAGACAGAGAGACAGCGAGAAATCACCCCTCATGCCGCGATCCCTTCTCCTCCATTCTCCTCTCGGGATCTTGGGCACGCACGCACACGTGCCCAGCATGAGTTTTAAGCCACCGGGTCCGGGACGCGAACTGCGGTCAACTACGTGGGAGTCCAGCGACATAGCCGTTACGCTAACTGCTGGTTCCCAACCTCTTAGATTCTTAGGCTTTTCTTAATTTTTACTTTACTTAGCTGACTGAAGATCTCCCATAGAAGGAATTTTAGCCCTGAAATGTAGATGTCATTGGAAATTTTTGTTTTAGTCAAGGAAAAAAGATGGGAAGAATGAGATTCCTGAATTCATAGGGTTGTAGTCACCCATGCTAATTAATTCCTCTCCTTGATTTAATTCCTTGTATTATACACTTCTGGGCAGGAGAATGGTATGTCAGAAAGCAGTCACTCAAAAATTGAAAGCCACCAATCTGAGATTTTAATTTCTCCTACATCTAATGGGATAGATACTCTGCTATTCTCATTAAAGCATTATCTACTTTTTTTTTTTTTTTTTTTTTGAGAGGTTTTTGCTATAGGGCGCGTGCGCTCGCCAGACAGACAGAGAGAGACAGAGAGACAGAAAGTGAGAAATCACCCCCCGGGGGGTATGGCCATGCCACAATCCCTTCTCCTCCATTCTCCTCTCTAGATCTTGGGCACGCATGCACACACGTCCGGCGTGAGTTTTTAAGCCACCAGGTCCGGGACGCGAACCACGATCGACTACATGGGAGTCCAGTGACATAGCCATTACACTAACTGCTGGTCCCAAAGCATTATCTACTTCTAAGACCATCATTTAGAGCCAAGGCTCTTTTCCACATGTCACAAAATAGTACCATTGACAGTCTGTAATTTATAAATTACAGTTCAATCCTGGACGATAACCTTTTACATAAGGTGAGTTGGATCATTGTGGAAACAAAACAAATAGTAGGCCAAACGACAACTATTTTTGGAACTTCTGATCTACTCTATTATTCTAAAAGGTTCTGAAAAATAATTTCTCCCTTTGCATAAAAAAGTTAATCTACACAGGAATTTTTAAAATAGTACAATTTGCCACTGGGATGCTCTATTCTTAATAGAGGCAAATCCAGGGACCAGCAGTTGGCATAATGGCTATGTCGCTGGACGCCCATGTAGTCAACTGCAATTTGAGTCCTGGACCTGGTGGCTTAAACTCATGCTGGGCCCATGTGCATGCGTGCCCAAGATCCCGAGAGGAGAATGGAGGAGAAGGGATTGCACCGTCTCTACTTGGGTGTGTGTGTGGGGGGTGATATCTTGCTTTCTATCTCTCTGTCTCTTTCTGCAAGCGCACACATCCTATAGCAAAACCTCTTTAAAAAAAAAAATAGAGGCAAATCCAAACTGAAAAACAGATGTTGTGGCCAAGATTGATAGGAAAATACTAGCTCAGTGTGGGGATTTGAGAAAAGCTGCTATTCTCCATTCTTTTTTTTTTTGGAGAGGTTTTTGCCATAGGGTGCATGCACTTGCCAGACAGAGAGAGACAGAAAGCGAGAAATCACCCCCCGGGGGGGGGGGATGGCCATGCCACAATCCCTTCTCCTCCGTTCTCCTCTCTAGATCTTGGACGTGCACACACATGCACCCGGCGTGAGTTTTAAGCCACCAGGTCCGGGACGCGAACCACGGTCGACTACGCTAACTGCTGGTCCTCCGCTATTCTCCATTCTTAAAATAAATCACAGTGGGGCCAGCCTATAGTGTAGCAGTTACATTGCTGGAATCCCACACAGCTGACCATGGTTTGAGTCCTCGACCCAGTGGCTTGAAACTCACACAGGGCGCTTGTGTGTGCATGCCCAAAATCCTGGGAGGAGGATGGATAGCAGTGTGGTCATTCCCCGCCTTGGGGGGTAACTTCTCACTTTCCCTCTCACTATCTCTCTTTCCAGTGAGCACACATGCCTTAAGGTAAAAACCTCTAAAAAGCAAACCAAAAAAACCTCAATAAATCACAGTAATGCCCTTCACTGAAGTACTAAATTCACAGCAAAAGCAAGATATGGAGAATGAAATGATTGTGTGAGCTTTGATTTTTGAGAATATCAGGTGAATTGGTTGAGTTTAAAAGCCAAGGAATGAGCTGAGATGAACTTATCAAGGCCACTGGGTAATAGGAGCAGGTGCCATGTAGATTAGTAACAGATCATTGAAAAGAAAGGCTCACTGGGATTAATTCCTAACACAATTCAATGTAACACAGTTCAAAGAAGAAAATAATAAGATCCCAAAAATGGTGAGCTACCAGCCTACAAAAGCAGTACCAAACCAAGAGGCTCTCCTGAAATATGGCTAGTGAAATTCAGATCTTAAGTTACTCAAAGTTGTTTCACAACCACTGGGTGAGTATATTGAAGTCTTCCTGTTGTGAGAAGCCATGGGAAAGGATTAACTCAGTCCCAGAAGTCTGACCCCATAGCAATCTTGGGGTCTGTTGATTCCTAAACCTGCTTGAAAAGTACTAAAACATCTAGTCCTTTCCAAGTTCTTCTACTTATACTCAGAGGCCATCATTTAAACTGGTTTGATTTCTTAGAGTTTCTCAACATTTATCTCTTAATATCTACTGTTAGTTTAGGAATAGTCAAATTATACAAATGTGTGTTTTTGAAAGGAAGGGAAAATAATTGCTTTTTTTCTCTTCTCAGCTGGTAAACACAAGTGAAAACTTGAGCAAAAGTCGAAAGATTCTTCGTTCAATGTCCAGAAAGTAAGTTTCAAAAATAGTCACAAAATTAATTGTTCACATATAGTCAGTACCATCCAGCAGATTAGAAGAAATAGAGGAATGTGGTCTTTTATAAGTAAATATCCCGGGGATAAAATCCTGGGATGTTTGAAGTATAAACTGCTCTGACTTGGAGCAGTGGAAAACTTGTCCACTGAAAGGATATTTAATCCCAACCTTCATTCCTTAGAGAAGCAGCACATGGGAATAAGAGCCTCATATTCCTTAAAATGTATTTTACACAAATTTAATCAGTACTTGCCTTTAGCTCTGTTTGCCCTTCATGGGACTCAGCCCCTTTTCTGGAAGTTCTGTCTTGTTAGCAAGTAGACTTTAAAAAACAAACTAGCCTTGAGGTGAGTGCTGGCTGCAGCAGAAGCAGGGCTGAAGGGTGGTAAGTGGGTAGAGGGCTGGCCTTGGACACAGCTAGCACTACATAAAAGGAAGCTACATGCAATTTAGTCATGGAATTGGCAGGACAGGTCGAGTTTTCCTAATAGTGGTAAATCCCTGTAGAGTAGGGAGAAACTAAAGTGCGCATGAGAATGGAATATTGGATCCTCCATGTAAGGCAGGAGGGTTGACAGAAGACCTGGAGGGGAGGAGAGTGGAATAGGGAAGAGAAGGTAAGAAGAGAAGTTTACAGGGATTGAAAGGCATTATCCAAGCTTCTGGTTACTTATCCTAAAGCAGGACCCACCCATCCATGAACTGGACTTTGATCCTGGAGAGGCTGCCCCAAGCCCTTTTCCCAGCATATCCCCACAAATGTATTGTAGAATGTAATTGATGCAGCTCTGTATGGTTAGGGAGTGATCCTATATTTCTGTTATTTGAAATATGACTCACCCCAATTTTGGAAATACTTCCTAATATATAAATAAATAAATAAATTTTTTCCCTAATTAACCCCTCCTCCTAGAAAAGCTATTTTTTAAAGTAAGTAAGTAACTACTATTGAAGACAATTTTGATCAAGGAACCATTTTTATACTGTATATCGGTATTTATTGTCCTACTTTGCAACATTTCTGTGAGGTAGACAGTGTTATCTTTAAGTTACAGGTAAAGAACCTTATAGGTTGTCATATATCAGCTAAAGAATTGTGCAAGTACTTATTGCTAAGTGGCTATGTGATCAAACACACTGGATTAATTATACTGCCTCACAATATCCAACCTTGGCCCCTGGTCAAAGTATTAAGAAAAGAAAGAAATAAGGTATCAGACTTCTGACTGCTCCCTACTTTGCTTCTCTTTGTAGAGTGATAACCAACAAGCTGCTGCTTTCCATCGTCATCTTGCTGGAGATAGCCATCCTGGGAGGTGTGGTTTATTACAAGTTTTTTTCCAAGCATTGAACTTCCTAAAGGGAAGGGTTTATGGACCAGAACTCTGACCCTGTGAATGGTGTTAGGGATAAGTTAGCGTGATGCTGCTATGGGCTGACAATTCCAGGACGCACTGTGTACCTAGACTTTGAGAAGGGGGGACACCACTTAAATGTGAAGCAACAGCAGCAACAAGACCAGTATGAGAGAGAGAGAGAGATATATACATACACATCAAGGTAATAAAGGCTGTTTATAACTTCCTTAAATTTACATAGTACTACAACGTATTAATCCTCTGTGAACTGCAAAAAAAAAAGCAAACACATTTATGATAGTATTGGTCACCAAAATGGAAATTTTACAACCGTGAGAATGTGCAAATGTTCTGATTAAGGCAATACCGACCCAGACAACCATTTACTATCTGTCCCCTCAAATGCGTTGCAACTCTGGAATGCCCATTGTGAAACGTGTTGGTGCACAGTAGTTCCTAAATTCTAACACGTTCTTCATTCTCTGATTCATCTGGTGAACTGGGAGTAGGAAGTTGGTCATAGACAATGTGTCCTCCTTCTCTTGTCTGACCAAAACTTGAAGCAATCACATCCACTGCCAGGCTAGCCGTAGCCTTTGCCTCTTCCTCTGAAGTGACCACCCGAGGATTGACTTCGACAAGATCCAATGCTGACAGCAACCCTGGGAGAAGAAAACAAGATAAAAACCTCAGAAATCCCATAGGTGCAGCTTTCAGTGAGGGTTGTCCCACCTGGACAGGGAGAATAAGCCAAGCTAAAAACAAGAGTTTCTAGACCAGCAGGTTGTATGGAGATTGAGGCACTGGATCCCTCATGGTCAGCTGTGCAGTTTGAGTCCCAGAACCAGTAGCTTGAGAATCACACCGGGTGCGTGTGCATGTGTGCCCAAAAATCCCGAGATGAGAATGGAAAAGGGATTGTGGCATAGCTGTTCCCCTGAGGGATGCGCTGGTACGCTTTCTCTCTCTCTCTCCAGTGAGCACGTGTGCCCTACAGCAAAAACTAAAAACAAAAAACTCACAAAAGTTATTTCCCACTATAAAATTATCTGTTATCAGAAAGCTCCTTGTACCTCATCCTCTCAGCTATGAATTTTTAAGTTAAATGCTAAATGCTGGTATGCTAGAGTGAGATGGGAAGAAACTTTTAAGGTAATGAAGTAAATAGACCTGATAGGCATTAGTTCTCAGGGTTTCTGGGTAAGGAAAGGACTGGCAAGACCTGGTTGCCTGGGAAAACGTGTGCCATCTCCAGAATGGCTGGCCTGCCTAGAAATGGTGACATAGTAAGGTGGAGGAAATCTCCCATTAATCAGAGCTCCATTCTCACTTTTGAACTCTAATGGCATATATATGGCATATATATATATATATATACATATATACATATATAGTTGTTGGAAAAGTCATGACACTGTTTTTCTATGAAGAAATTCTGACAACCCAATTTTTTTTTTTTTTTTTTTTTTGGTATAGTGTGTATACTTGCCAGAGAGAGACATGGAGAGAGGGAAAGTGAGAAAGTACCTCGTAGGGTATATGGCCACACTGCAATCCCTTCTCCATTTTCCTGGGATTTAGGGCATGCATGCACATGTACCTGGTGTGATTTTCAAGCTGCCAGGTCCAGAATTCACAACTGTGATCAGCCATGTGGGAATCTAGCACCTTAATCACTATATACCTGCTGGCCCCCTTATTTATATTTCTTAAAACATCACACCACACACCCTTAAATGTAGATATTACAAATATTATCGTCACCCTACAAGCCTGAGTTGAGGGCAGGTTCCACATCTAGACACACTTTATATTTTTGTCTTCTAGTAGACCTAATAGCTTCCACTTGGTAAAAGGAAGACTCAATTACATCTTAATTGTTTAATTTGGAGTCTTGTCACCTGATGGCTTGAGAATGTGTGTCAAAGGTCTCAGCACCATTCTGTTGCCCAGGATCAGGCTAAGGGTAGGGGAAGATAGACTAGAAGAACTCCTTTCCAGACCTGCCCTCCACTCCCATGCCCTATACCTTTATACCCTGACTTCTCTTTGTAGTTGGTTTTTCTGGGTGAAGTTAATCTACCTCTTCCAGAGTCATCTGAATGAACTAGTATTCAAGAATACAAGCATCTGAGAATATTTATGGGTGACCATAAACTGTGGAAAGATGAGTGACTAAACCTATGGTTTGTTGATATTTTAGTATAAGATATGCTCAATGCCGTTACATTCATTTCAGTGTATCTTCCTTATTAGTAACGCATGGCTACATACTCTGTGCAAAATTGCAGTGGACAGGCATGTTACTGTAACATCTCTATCATTTCTTGCACATGGCTCTGTATCCCTGATGATGTGTGTGTTTTTTTAATTTGCCAGAGTGTGCATGTACACACCAGAGAAAAAGCACCCCATGGGGGATGGTCATACCGCAATCCTTTCTCTTCCATTTCTCCCTTCTTTAGGGATTTTGGGCACATACACCCAGCATGTTTCTCAGGCTGCTAGGTCTGAGACTTAACCACCACACTACCAGCTAGCTCCATTATGTCTCTTTGATATCTTGTGCAAGTAGTCATCAAGAGGGTTTGCACTCTTAAAAATATAGGGACCAGCAGGTGGCATAAATGGCTACGTCGCTGGACTCCCGTGTAGTCGACCACGGTTCGAGTCCTGGACTCAGTGGCTTAAACTCATGCCGAGTGAGTGTGCATGCATGTCCAAGATCCTGAGAGGAGAATGGAGAAGGGATTGCGGCATGGCCATCCCCCCTACGGAGGTGATTTCTTGCTTTCTGTCTCTCTGTCTCTCTTTTTCTAGTGAGCAGATGCGCCCTATAGCAAAAACCTACCCACCCCCCCAAAAAATATATATTACCTGTGTTCTCAGACTATTGCCATGTTGTAAACTAGTTTAAGCAAATTGTTCTATGTAACTTGTTGATGGTATCATGACAGTCTTTTAAAAATATTTTTTTTTATTCCTGATAAAGCAATGTGTATGCACCTATGAGAGTGAGAGAGATGAGCATCCTTCACAGGCTTTGGCCACACTACAATCCTCTTCCTTCAGTCCTCCAGCTCATCAGACCTTGGGCACTACTTGTATGCATGTTCAGTGTGTTTCAGGCTGACCAGGAAGTCGCCATGTAGGACCCAGCTTCTTTTGAGCAGTGCATTACTATTGTGCTACAGAGCCGGCCCTAGTCTTTTACTCTTTTTAAAGTTAGTTTATTTACCCCTTCCATGAGAGAGAGACAGTCACCACCAACAGGAGCCACACACTGATCCACTCCCAGCCAACTCAAATCACAGGTATGCATATGCACCCAATGTCTATAGGGTAGCCCTGGGATGTAAACTGAGGACCTGCCCATGTAAGCCACCATCTGGCCCCATCACAGTCTTTCGGAATGAAATACTGGGTCATCAGAAAAGTCATGCCTTTTTGCATAGAAAAACATAAAAACCTACCATGACTTTTCTGGCAACCCAATAATATTGCAACAGGAAGAGAGGGATAACACATGACCAATGCCACTTCTAAGTGCTGTAGATTACTAACTTCTGCTAAGTGATGTTATTGGGAAGCGAGTGGAGAATTAAATTCCCAGGTTTTCTGGCCACTAACCCAGGTTCCAATGGCAGTAGCTAAGATTGTTAAGTCATAAGAGTGTCTTGCTGCTGTCAGAAGAGATAAGCACTGGCTTCCTTTTGGTACTGCCTCAGCTTCTAGCAGGCTCTTAAGTCAAGGAGACCATTTCTCAGTCTCTGTTTCTATATCACCATATCAAGGGTGCTGTCTACAGCACAGTTTTATGAGATGGTTACTAAAGCTGCATCATGTGGTAGTTGTTTACATTTTAAAATGAAAAGTCATTTAAAGGAGCCTTAAAACCAGAAGGTGTCTAACAGAAATGGAAACTGCCAGCAAGTACGAGTTCGAGGACAGTAACCCCTTCTAGATTGTAGGTGATCTAAAATTCATTTTACTACTGTCAAACATTTATCTAACTGGATCCATTTTATTAAAGCTCTTATCAAACAAGTTCTAGTATAGGACTTATCATATATACAGGGACTCTAGATATTATCCATTTGCAAACATTTAAGAGATCTGTTTGACTTCCAAATAATCAACTCCAAGTGAACTCTTCTTTCAACAATAAAATTATACATAACCTGAGCTTGCCTTAATAATCTGCCTTTAGATAACTTGAACACAAGGAACTGCATTATTTTGGCAATTTATTCTTGTCTTTATTCTTGTCTTTGTATAGTTAACACATTACCAACCTGGCTGCCACATACCTGTATTATGTATCTCCTCAGTAATGTACATGCCTTCTCTATAGGTCAGTCCCCCTACAACAGGGGTTCCTGTGGCTGGAGCCAGTGTAGGGTCAAACGCATCAATATCAAAACTCAGATGGATTGGCCTTTGTCTCCTGCAAAGAAGATGATAAAAAGAATACCTATTTGGTTATAGTTAAACACATCCTTCCCATGGTTGCAGCTCCTTGATTTTGATACTGTTGGTCCTGGTGCTTTTGTGTGTGTGTGTGTGTGTGTGTGTGTGTGTGTTTTAAGATTTTTGCTGGGACTAGCAGTTGGCATAATGGCTATGCTGCTGGACTCCCATGTAGTCGACCGTGGTTCGAGTCCCAGACCTGGTGGCTTAAACTCACACTGGGCGCGTGTGCATGCCTACCCAAGATCCTGAGAGGAGAATGGAGGAAAAGGGATTGCAGCGAGGTCATCTCCCCAGGGGGGGGGGGGGGATTTCTTGCTTTCTGTCTCTTTCTTTCTGGCGAGTGCACGTACTCTATAGCAAAAACTTCTCCAAAAAAACCCAAAGATTTTTGCCATAGGGCATATGCATTCACTAAAGAGAGAGAGAGAAAGTGAGAAAGCATCCCCCAGGGGTACTGGCCATGCCACAATTCTTTCTCTATTCTCCTCTTGAGATTTTGAATATGCATGCAAATATATACACACCCAGCTTGATTTTCAAGCTGCCAGGTCCAGGACTTGAACTGAGGTCAGGCCTGTGGGAGTACAGCACCTTAACTACCATGCTACCTGCTGGCCCCCTGATACTTTGTTAATACAGCATATTTCCAGGTTTCCTGTTCCTGGAAGTTACTGAGATCAGCATACTAGCTTCTTATATGCCACTTCGGATACTGCCATTTGTTCTGCTTGCCTCAGACAAATTAAGTCGGTATTTCTG